CCGTCCATTACGGTTACCTGCTAGATTGTCCTACCCGGTGACAGTAGTCAATAACCACTTCAAAGAAATATATCCCTTTCCGGGACATATCAATATATATATATATATATATATATATATATATATAAAACGCGAACCTGAGTGGCCTCCGCATTCCCCCGACCTCAACCCATCAGATTTTTATTTGCGGAGATATTTGAAGGGTCGAGTCTACAAGAACAACCGCCACACCATCTCAGAGTTAAAGGCAGCAATCACTCAAGAAATCAGGGTCTATAACAAAAGAAGAGGGCATCAAAGACATCAACAACTTCACCCGTAGAATTCAATTGTGTCTTCATCAGAACGGAGCACATATGGAGCATATTCTATAAATGACGATAAAATCTTTGCCTGTAGAACTAGTGACATATTGTTTATAGCAGTAGATTTACTAACTTCTCTAATTTTCAGAAAGATATGCTTTGTACATAGTTTCTAAACAGAAAATAAATGATGTTCATATTTTTGTGTTACATTTATTCTGGGGCACGCTGTATAACATAATGTTGGATTAAATTAATCATAAATTTATTTACTATATCCAATAGTGCTTCTTCTGTGCTTCCGTAAATAAGATATGTCAAAAATGATTTATCGAGATGCTATGTTTAAAAATTGATAAGACTGAATTTTCAGTGTAATTGATTTGGCGAGCGACGTCAGGAATTTTAAGAGTGTATAATTAATGAAACATTCTCATCAAAATGAAGTATGGAAGGTCGAGAGAAGTTCGTGGAGACTATCAAGTGAAACTTAGACAAAAATAACTAAAAATAATTAAATTTAGTAAAAGATTTAGAAGTACTTTCATGTTTATCCGTACAAATAAAAAAGCCGATCACTTTTTAACCATAAACAATTCAGATGATTTGCAGCTGATTCGATCTTTAGACATACTTGTCATTGATCCAAATTGCACCTTTCAAGATATATTTAGAAGCATTAGGTCAGTAGTTTTGTTAGTTTAGATCACGGGTTTCTAATCAGCTAGGGTCATCTCCGACCTGCAAGAATATTTTGTTTCTTTTTAATTGGTAAATAGTAATTGTAATATCATTCGAAATAAAAGTTATTCAAAGATATTTTATTCACTTGGTGATTTTCCACTGCCCCGCGAAGATGTGTAAAATTGTCTCCCTTGGAAGTCTATTCCACAAAGCAACGGTTCTCGCGAAAAATACTGTGTGGAACTTCCTCTTTACAAATGGAATATCAAGGTTACAAGGTATTTAAACTCATGGTAACATATTCAGATTATGGTCTTTCTCACTCCTTAGTCGGAGTTTTTGAATTCAGAGTTGTCCTTCTCTTAGATCGGTTGCCAGTCAAGGCTATAGGACCCGATCTGTATGTAGTAATTCTCAGGAGGATGTTGTCTGAATGCAACTTCCATCTTACAAATGAGAATTCTAAGGGAGTAAGTATTTTTCGACTCTGGGTACATAGCGTGACGTGTCTTAATTGTAAAAGTCTAAACTGGTGGAACTAAAGAATGAAGCTTGTTTGAACATTTGCCCTGGAAATAGCGATAGATTAGCGAGAGGCTTTAAATGTAAAGGTCTGAATTGGTGGAACTAAAGAATGTGGCTTATCTGAACATTTGCCATGGAAATAGCGATAGAGTAGAGAGAGGCTTAGATGTAAAGGTCTGAATTGGTGGAACTAAGGATTGTAGCTCATCTGAACAATTGCCATGGAAATAGCGATAGAGAAGTAGCATTTCGTCTGCGGTAAAAAGGAGTCGTAGGGTTGAAAATATTTAACCACCCCTAAGCCAGTGTAAATTCATTTGAACTTTGTGGTTGAAAGTGAAGATTGTGTAGCTCCAGTCCAGAAATGTTAGAGATGCTCCATTTTTTTTATCTGGTTCTTATAAAGATAAATTATGGTAGGAGTAGTCGGATACTTTTCGAAAAGCACAAAGAACAGTTGTTTTTTCCCAGCATATTAACCGATTGAGCATATACAGGCATTTCACTTTGGATTTGGGATGAAACTTAGTCTCAGTTGATGTTCAAGGCAGTGTTACTCCTTGAGAGTACAAGCACTTATAATGACTGGAAAGAATTCCGAATATCTTCAACAACAATGGAATAGTATTTGGTTAAAGAGGTATTGAATGTTACAAGTTAGTTTTTCTACATTGAGCTGCTAGATTTCGATCATAGCAGAGATCAGCTGCCAGTATCTGATAATCTAGAGTTTTGGAGGTGATTCCATAAACAGGAGTATCGTATATATATATATATATATATATATATATATATATATATATATATATATATATATATAATAATGGTATAAGAAATTATACTCGTCCGAAAACCTTCGGTGTCTTGATTTGCGAATAATCAAACCAATACTAAAGTGAAAAAAATATAAAAAAGAAAGAACAAAGAAACATTACGACATCCGAAAATAATGGTCTATCTATCTATCTATCTATCTATCTATATATATATATATATATATATATATATATATATATATATATATATATAGATAGATAGATAGATAGATATCTTACGTCCCCATCAGTCACTAACACAAACCCATGCTCATTAGCAAGGCGTCTACTAGAGGAGGACTGACATTGAATAAAAATTTGAAACAATGCTCTGAGACAGACTATTAGGGACTGATAATATCTGTGTACAGAACGGCTTGAGATAGATCTCTATGCTGAGGTAACTTGTTTTTTTTTTTTTGCTGTAAAAATACATACGCTCTGTTAAAATAAATACATTGAGCTCTCTGTGAATCAGTTTTAATAATTAATATTACTAGGATCCACCCAAATTATATACCAACGGATCGATTACCTATATATATATATATATATATATATATATATATATATATATATATATATATATATATATGACGAAGGCGAAACGCATTATCAATAAAAAGCTTTTCCACTGTCTCATTTCTCTACTTTTGGCTGGATTTTATCTTCCATTAACACACATAAATATTTACTATCTATCTGGTATTGTTCTTGGGCATATGGCAAATATAAAGTAAAAGGATTGTAAGATCAAGGAGAGGGTTTTGGGGAAAACCTGTGTTGATCTGATGGGTTCCAAAACATAGGGTATTAAAGACGATTGGCATGGAAAGACTTGAAAATTGCGTAGACTCTACCACAGCTGGAGAGTCCTTCTACCAACTTCAATCTTTCAAATTGACTAAAGCCTTTGAAGTATCTAAGGTGATCTCTTTCGTGATAAATTTATTATCGACCCTCCCACTCATTTTGTGTGTAATGACATTTTGGATATCAGCAGCGGATCTCGAAGAGTGAAATCCATGCTACTTGTTGTTCAGAAGTGTTTTTTTTTTCGCTTCGGGCGATGATTATTGATTATTATCAAGGAGTTTGCTAATAATACTAAGGAGGCTGATAAGGCAATAATGCAAAAGAGTTGAGCGCTCATCCGCTTTCTTGAAAACAGGGCATTCAGCCGGTACTTTCAATAGACCTGGGATCAATCTATCTATAGATCTATCTATCTAGATCTCTCGTATATCTAATAATATTAATAACTGCCAAAATGCTGTAGGAAGGCGAAGTCTTTTTTTTTTTAACCATTTCTCCCTAAGCAAGTTAATAAAACCCTAGAATGCAAGAGGTTGTGAATGAAAGAAACAGAGAATATCTGTCTATATCTCTGAGATGAGGCATTATGATTACTTGCATTATTCACATTATTCGGACTGTTATCCTCATCTTGTGCCATATTCTATCATCTGAGATGAGGCATTTGATTACTTGCATTATTCACAACTCATCTTCATTGCCATATCCACAACGTTTCGGCATCTATATCTCTGAGATGAGGTATTATGATTACTTGCATTATTCGGACTGTCAGCCTCATCTTCATTGCCATATTCACAACGTTTCAGCCTCTATATCTCTGAGATGAGGTATTATGATTACTTGCATTATTCGGACTATTATCCTCATCTTCAATGCCATGTTCACGTTTCGACCGTTGTACGCTCAGAACCTCTTCAGGTGATTTGAATCTCGAACCGAACTCTTTATTTCATCCACCGGGTAGATTGTTCTTGTTCCACGTGCCATGATTATTCCGAGCCATGTTTCTTGTGGGCCACGTGTCCTTAAGGACACATGACACATTTGTGAGCTCAATACCAGGCCGCAGTAGGGGTGAAGCAAAAAACTTGGAGAGTTGAGTCAAAAGGAAATAACTGAGACATCCGGAAGAGGCATGGCACATGCAACTAGAACAATCTACCCCGGTGGGCGAAATAAATGATTCGGTTCGAAATTCCAATCACCTGAGGAAGGCCGGGGCGTACAACGGCCGAAACGTTGATAATATGGCAATGAAGATGAGGATAGCAGTCCGAATAATGAAAATAAGGCCCAAAACGGAGAAGACAATAAAATAACAAGATTCAAAGAAACATAAGATATGATGTTTGACATTGAAGACAAGGTATAGATCAATCTCTCCTCTCGAGCTATGGGTTAAATTGTAAAACTTATATGGGAAAAAATCATTGTTATTCTTGAAAAGATTGTTGATGCACTATTCGCTCGCAAAAAAATAGAATAATACTTTCAATCCAAAATATATTTCAGCGTTAACTAATCCACGAAGAGTCAACGGTAAAAATTAAACACAAAACAAATTTATGAATTGGTTTGCCTATTTCAAGACAGTTTAGGAAATCCGGAGATGTGTTTTGGCAGAGTTTTCTGCAAATTCGCTCTTGAAATACTGGAAGCAGCAACGAGTTATTTACAATTTGCGTTTTCGATCTCATTTGTTTGCGTCGTTATATTTCAGTTATTTCCAATGATTCGCTTCAAGATATTCTTTTTTCACTGGCAATTTATCATTTACCGGTCGCATAAAATAATCTTTTTTTTTTGTTCCATAGGTTACCATTTTTGTTATTTTTTTTACTTTAATCATTAGCGAAGGCATCACTCTCCCCACCAGAAACTGCGATATTTGCTTCCATCGCTAGCTTTTCTTGACACATGTCAATCGATAGGCAGGCGCTTACCATTCCGGTGTGCTTCCTTTTCGTGTTTTGGCAAACGAAACAATTCCAGTTCCCTGAAAAGAATTGGTTGACTTTCTAATCGATTGGATAGCGAATCTTTAGCTGGCAGAATGAAAAACAAATTGTGAATTTAAAATTTATTAATAAATCTATCTATCTATCTATCTATCTATCTATCTTAGTGTGTTTCTATCTATCTATCTATCTACTAGTGTGTTTCTATCTATCTATCTATCTATCTATCTATCTATCTATCTATCTATCTATCTCACTCTGTTCATATCTATCTATCTATCTATCTATCTATCTATCTATCTATCTATCTACCAGTGTGTTTCTATCTATCTATCTATCTATCTATCTATCTATCTATCTATCTATCTCACTCTGTTCATATCTATCTATCTATCTATCTATCTATCTATATTTTTATATTACAAACTATAGACACAAGTCAACAACATTATATTACCTCATCAACCTTTATTGAATCCATTCTTAAAGAATCTAACTTATGTTTATCTAAAATATAATGTATGTACGTAAAATCATTCCTAAATCAACGTGCGAGAAATAAACAGCAAACTTAATGTGTACTAAACACATAATCATATGCACTCACACAGACACTTACAAATATATATTATTATAAGAAATCTTACATAGACAGACTAGAATTATTATACATTAGAGAAAGCGATATTTAAGTTTTTCAGTTAGGTCTGAAATCCGTTATTATCTTGGAACTTCGAAAGGGACGCGTCTCTCCCTGAATTCGGAACGACACAAATTCTACTAACGTTGGTCTAAAAATAGAATGCATGCGAAATATGATTAACCAGTGAAAATCAAACAAACAAAAAGTAAAAATACCAGAATTCCTTTCTTCTTTTTCTCCATTTCACAGTCTTTGATGAAACTTTATTCAAAGTGGAACATTTTTAGATTGATAAACGTTTCCTATTTGTTCTTTATATTTTTCTGTCAGAAACCGATCTATATTTGATCCAACTCATCCTATCCCTTTCTCTCCATATATATATATATATATATATATATATATATATATGAAAAACAATAGGAAAACTATAATAGTTGCTGACGCGTTTCGTCCAATGTGGACTTTCTCAAGGCAAAACGAAATGAATTTATTAAACAAAGTAACTAATAATAACAAAACAAAATAAACTTATCAACTTAAAGAATTTAGAGAACGAAATTTTCATACTGTTAACTGAAAATTACGTCAATCACTGAAAATGTCGTTCTCTAAATTCTTCCAGTTGCTAAGGACATTTTGTTTTGTTATTATATATCTGAGAAAATTTCATATATATATATATATATATATATATATATATATATATATATATATATATATATATATATAATGGACTCTCCGTCGGTCGGTTTCGACGTATGAGGATCTGACAGCTTATTGATTCAGTCATGAAAGTTTGTGCGATAATCTTAAGTGGCATTTAAGACCCCTATTGATTTTATATATATATATATATATATATATATATATATATATATATATATATATATATATATATATATATATATATATATGTTTGATTAATTAAATTACAGACATTATGTCAACTTATTTTTAGCATAATCTGTTCCCCACTTCGTGTATTACAATTAAATGTTGCAAGGAATGCGCTATAACTGTGAAAATCGCAAGTACTTTCTATCTCCTTCTGAGATCATTTTCACGGGTACAAGTAGTAAAACGAAACTGTGTTGTTATTTATTACGGAATTTTTTCTATTTGCTTTTAAATGTAACAGTTGACAGTCATGCCTAGTGTTCACTGGAACGTGAAAAATTATCCACTATGGAATTTTTTCTTCTATGTTGAAATGCCACGGTCATGCGCGTAAAAGTTGTTCCATCTATAGACATTTTAGAACATTACGAAAGTATGCGTATTTGTTTGATTTAATCAGACATGCCTAAAAATGAATTTGCTGCCTAAATACACAAATATATATATATATATATATATATATATATATATATATATATATATATATATATATATATGTATTGTGTATTTGGGCAGCAATCTCTGTTTTATGCAAGTTTCTTTAAAATCGACTGACAAGGTGATGAGGTTAAGTTTTTAATACAAGTTTTCATGTTTTCTTATAATTTTTTTTTTCTTTTCAGAACAAATTATATAAAATTGTCCGAATGTTTTATACATCCAAGCGCTTTCGGCTATACTTTTAAACCTTAAGCCAGGAAGTAATAAGCTAGATTAATTAACGTGATTTACGACAACCAACTTATCTTCAAAGATCCCATGACCGTCTCCTAATGAATAATTTTGTCTTTCTTTTATTCAAACGAAAGAGAATATAAGTTTTCTCCGGCGAAATGTGTCTTTGATAAAAAAAAATTTCCATTTTTTTCTCATTATCTTCACGTTTGTCTGGGATACTATTATACATCCTACACGCACATGCACACTCACACACATACACACACACAGACACATACACATACACACACGAACACACACACACACGAACACCACACGAACACACACACACACGAACACACACATACGAACACGCACATGTACACTCACACACGCACACACAGGCACTCATACACACACACACACACACATTCAAACGCACAATCACACACAGACTCACACGCACATGTACACTCATACACACACTCATACACACACGCTCACTCACACATTCACACAGCCACGCATACGAATACACAAACACACACACACACACACACACACACACACACACACACACACACACACACACATATGTGCGTGTGTTCGGCAACATCAAACAATCACCATCTTTTTTGTCCCTGTTCTTTTGTACTTTCCACTCAATAATGTTACATCAGATTTTTCACTCTTTGCGTCTTAGTGGCTTTATTGGCTTCTTTTAGTTAATATATATATATATATATATATATATATATATATATATATATATATATATATATATATATATATATAATATGTATTATATGCAAATAAATAAAATATTTGTATGACAATTGTTGGTCCTAGATTCGTCAGCTATTGGTGAAACATCCATTTAATTCACATGCGTAATAAACACAAAATTTCAGAGTTTGGATGGCTACAGCGAAAATAGAGCTTCATTGACCTCCTCGTTTGAGAGACGTTTAGCAATGGACAAAGAAAATTTGTTTAGGGCAATAATCATTGGCTGTTCATTGGAGAATTCCTGAAGGAAGCAAAATAAATTACTCTGATTAGATGGACCGACATTCAAACTATAGACATGAGGATTCAAAAGGGAATCGGTCCTTATATCGGAAAATAGAACAGAACAGGCGCGGCTGCGGCCAAAGTTTAATGAATTAGGGTTACCAAATGACCGACTTAGAAAGTGTCTGGTGTGTTCTTTCAATCTGAAATTGATCAAAAATCTTTGTGGCATCGATAAACTTTTCTAATATGCGAGAAGCAAGCAAATTTCAGACAGTAAATTTAATAATAACAAATTCATTTTCTAAGCGAAATAACGTTATGGAAAATAATTACAATAATCTATCTATCTATCTATCTATCTATCTATCTATCTATCTATCTATCTATCCATCTCATTCTGTTCATATCTATCTATCTATCTATCTATCTATCTCATTCTGTTCATATCTATATATATCTCATTCTGTTCATATCTATCTATCTATATATCTATCTAATTCTGTTCATATCTATCTATATATCTCATTCCGTTCATATCTATCTATCTATCTATCTATCTATCTATCTATCTATCTATCTATCTATCTCATTCTGTTCATATCTATCTATCTCAGTCTCTTCATATATATCTCATTCTGTTCATATCTATCTATCTATCTATCTATCTATCTATCTATCTGGTATCAAATTTATTTATGCAAGTTAATATTTTACTGTAAAATTGGTATTAGCCAACAATGTTGATGAATTTTGCAATATGATAATCATTATCAAGTTAATTTATGTTCTTTTATGCTTCTCTCGCCTTAATAGTAAATTTTTCCTTCTATTCTCTATCATTATGTAAACCCTTGCGTGTTAGTGACTTTAATGTCTTGATTTTAGATGAAACAATTAATATACAAAGTGTGGGGAAACAAATATTCGTGCACACATATTTTTAATTTATTAAATTCCCAACTAATGAATAAACATACGTTTCATATAATTAACTGTGCACAGATGAATAACAACTAAATATGCAGAAAAAATGATTTAATAGAAATAAATCCCATTTAGCCATTTTAATGGGTGAAAAGAGTATTCGTACAATACAAAAATGAATATATAATCTTCATTTAATATTTTGTAGAATAGCCATTATTCATTTCTACAGCAACAAACCTCTTCTTGCAGTTGTCATTTAATGATTTGCAAATTTTAGTTGGTATTTTGTTCCATTCTTCTTCGCATATGGTCTTCAGATCCGAGATGATTGTTGGAGCTGTCGATTGGATATGAAGTTTCAAATAACACCACAGATTCTCGATTGGGTTTAAATCTGGGAACTGATTTGGCCATTTCAAGATATTTACATTAATTTTAGCAAGCCATTTCTTCGTAGATTTTCCGTTGCGCTTAGGATCATTATCTTGGAAGATCCAATCAGGAGGAAGTTCAAGATTTTCAACCAAAATAATTAAATTTGCTTATTGTCCATTTAGTCGCACAGATTTCTGATGAAAGCAAATCATCCTGCTAATCAGCCTGACGTGCCTTAACCGATTGGGCCACAGAGGAGCGTTCGGTCAGCAAGGTCGATTTACTGTTTTTAGACACAATTCTCCAATTATAAGGCACGTCAGGCTATATGACGTTTCCTTATAGGATACAGGTTCGATTCCTGTCGGGGGACGCATATTTTCTATGAAAATTTCTCGGACATTCAGGCCGGTAAATGTCGTTAATACTGTTTATTATAAACAGAGCATTTACTTAAATATTTGTATCTATAAAAAACGTATAAAATAAAAAAATATATATATATATATATATATATATATATATATATATATATATATATATATATATATATATATATATGTATAAAACTCTGAACCAAAAAATATTGCTGCCGTAGAGCTTAGAATCTAGGATATTCAAATAAAAGTAGTTACAATTTAAAATTCTTCGATTCGAGTTCAAGCATAACCTGGTGGTAATACTTTTACTTTTTTTCAAACATAACGCAAAGCCAAAAATGGTAAGCGTGTAGTGTAAAGGATATCGGCGCGGAAATCGCGAGCCGTGTTCAATTTTCAGACAAGCCTCCATCATTCACTTTCGCACAAATGCACTTGAGTTAACATGAAAGTATAACTTCATTCTTCAGGTGATTGGAATGTCGAACTGAACTCTTTATTTCGCTCACTGGGGTAGACTGTTCTAGTTCCAC